CACACACACACACACACACACACACACACACACACCTTCTGAAACTAATCGTAGAGTAGCCCTCCCTCTGCTACCTCTTCCTTCAGCTTCTTCCCCTGCAGAAATGGATCCACTAACCTCCTGATGTGCAAGTTCATTCTTGTTTAGCTTCTTAGTAAAGCCATGCCATTTTCAGCACGCAGGCCAAGTGTTCTGTCACACAGCAGGTCATCCTTGTCCAAAAAAATCAGAAGAAATAAAGTAATAAAACATGCAGTTGATACAGCAAAAACTCCTTCTTTGATGGAAAGGTAAAATATAATATTTGGGACAATTGATCTGGATATGAATAAAGAAAACAAATGTAAACATATTATTATGATCAGCATGTTTCTACATGTAACTGTCCTCTAAACATATTTCCTCATTGTGGCCTTAGTAGTAATAACAATGTCATTAGCAACATCTTATTTTCTTGAAATTCATTCAAACTTTATTATTTTTCAGAAAACATGGGTACTAAACCTGAGTGAAGTTGGCCCCCCACCTTGTTCAAATCTAACAAAATAGGTGTCAAACGTTTGTGCCACGTTTGTGCAGAAAAAAATTTCATTTGTGCCGCTATTGTTTTTAAGATATTAACAAATGTTTCTAGAGGTCATCAGAGGTCAACCAGCCCCCCCACATTACCCGTATCAAGCAAAACTGGTGTCAAACGTTTGTGCTGGTTTGTGCAGCAAACATTTTCATTTGTGCCACTATGGTTTTTAAAGTTTTTTTTTCAGAGGCCAGCAGAGTTCTATGAGCTGATGCTAACAGAAGCATTAAAAGTGAATAAAATTTCTCAATTGTTCTGAAGTCATCCTTTTTAGGTCAAAACCTGATTTTCTCCTCCCCTTGATAATGTAAGCATTGGAATTTGTGAATGAGAACAGCTGTTTTGAAAATTCAGCTTTTAATGAACTAGTCAAAAATCAGAAACAGTGACATGTCTCTAGTTTGATCACCAGGGGGTGCTAGCAAACAGATTTTACTTCAGAAAGGAAAAAATAAGAGATGAGGAAAACGTGCTAGCTATGTAAACAGCTTTTTAAAGCTAGAGTTCAGGATCCTTAGCCATCAGCAACACTTAAATTCACAACTTCAAAGCAATGTATCAAGGTAAGTAAGTTTATGATCACTTATTTATGCAGAAGTACAGTTATAAACTTTTATTGATATCTTAAAAACGGTAGCGGCACAAACGGAAATTCTTTCTGCACAAACCAGCACAAACGTTTGACACCACTTTTGTCTGATTTGAAGAAGGTGGGGGGGCCAACTTCACTCAGGTCAGGCAGCAGGAGCGAGCTCTGCGGGCGCGCACGTGTGTTTGGTGAAGGGGGGGGGTGTGCGGGCAATATTATTGTAATAATAGTAATACTGTTGCCATTATGGTTGTATACACTTAATAAGAAGTGCAACCAAGGGCGACAGATGGAGCATAACAAAAAAAAAAAAGCGGGCTGGACAGGGGCACTTGATGGTCTGGAGTGAAAAGTGCAGGTGCTCAAGCACCACCTGACGTCTATCTGTGCACGTCCCTGCCTGTGCTTAATCTGTCAAAAGGTTGAGACTTCAGAGCACTGAAGTACCCCAGCCTTATTGTATGTTTTGTCACATCAGCACCATTAGTGACACTTGTGTGCCTGAAGACAAGAATTGAGAGAAGTGATCAAGAT